CTTCTTTTTGTATATTTTTTTGTATCCTGCAACTTTACTGAATTTTTTTTATTAGTTCTAATTGTTTTGGGGTAAAGTCTTCACAGGTTTCTACTTATGATCTCATGTCATCTGCAAACAGAGACTATTTAACTTTCTCCTTTCTAATTAGATTGCCTTTTATTTCTTTTTCTTGTCTAATTGCTATGGCTAGGACTTCTAGTACTATGTTGCATAGAAGTGGCAAGAGTGGGCACCCTTGTTCACCCTTGTTTCTGACCTTAGAGGAAAAGCTTTTAGCTTTTCACCATTGAGTATGATGTTAGCCGTGTGCTTGAAATACATGGCCTTTCTTATGTCGAGGTAAATTCCTTCTTTACCTAATTTGTTGAGTGTTTTTATCATGAAAGTTTGTAGAATTTTGTCAAATGCTATTTATGCATCTATTGAGAGGATCATTCATTTTTTATCTTTTCTTCTTTTAATGTGATGTATCATATTTTTTGATTTGAATATGTTGAACCATCTTTGCATCCTAGGGATAAATCCTACTTGATCCTGGTATATGATCCTTTTAATGTGCTGTTGAATTCAGTTTGCTAGTATTTTTTTCTATTTCTGTGAAAATGTCATTGGAATTTTGATAGGGATAGCATTGAATATATAGATTGCTTTGGGCAGTATGGACATTTTAACCACATCTTTAAGTTATCACCTACAATTTCTACTTACAGTTTTTTCAAGGTAAAAACTTAAAGTCACTTGCAAAGTATCTGACTGCAGAATCCTTCCAGATTTTTATAATTTTCTTCTCAATATTTTATGGCTGTCTTGCTTTCACTTAGTTCAAAGGCAGTTATGTTTTAGTGATTCAGCTTTATCAAGTCTTTCAAAAACATTTAACATAGCTATCACTTTTTTTTACTCATATTTTACTAGTTTATATAATATTATAGTTTATTTTACTAAATGACATAATTGCAATAACAAAAAATCACAGATAGATTTGGGAATAAACATGACTGATAAGCCAGATGCTGAATGAGTGGGAACAAATGAGGATCATTGGTTAATTTGACAAGTTAGTTAAGTAGAGGTTGATAAGGAAAGCTTGATTGTGTGTGATATGCAGAGAGGTGCCATATATTCATTTACTTACTTAGGGCTATTATTATACACATCTTTTATATAGATTAATTGATTGGTCATATCAGGGACCCATAACATTAACTCTCTTTGGATATCCCACACTGTATTTTACATGTAGTTGGTGCTTAATACATTCAGATCATACACAAAGCTGATGTTTCTCTCCCTCCACTCAATCATGCTCTATTCCTTTTCAGTTATTGAAACAAAAATACATTAGAAATCTAACTTAAGTTCTTCCTGGTCCTCATAGACATTCCCCAGCATTCCAGTTCACACTGACCCATTCGAATATAGCTCTTGAAATATGCTGTTTTGCACTGGCTTCCTACTGATCCTTAGATGTGTTATCTCTTAATTAGATTACAAACTCTCCGAGAATGAAGCTGTGTTTATAGGTCCTTGGAGCTCCCAGAATATAGTTTCTGTGATGGATGCTCAGTTGATAATCATTAATCACTTGCCAATTGAATAGCCCAAGGCAACCACCTACTGGGTTTGATAATACCAAGAAAAATGATTATTCACTAAGGTTGAAATTGGCAATAGGTGAGGTGGTCAAAATCCCACAAGAAAGAGAATAAAGCAGAAAAATATACTACCCAGTGGTTCTAGGACTTTAAATAAATTATTTTCCTTCAGTGTCCAACTAGGTAGAATGAGAGACTGGACTAGATCAGTGACTCTTAAAGCTTTTGGGATCATGATTATCTTCGAGAATCTGATAAAAAGCTAAGGATAATTTACTTAGAAAAACAAAATGGTGTTCACACATAAAGTCTTGCAGGTAATATCTGAGGGCCCTCAGACACTTGGACCAAGTGATCTCTAAGATTCCTGATAACCAGGCTGGATTCTAACATTGCCAATGGTAATGCTTCTTCCCACCAAAACGAACCAGTGAGTGAGTCTTGACTACTTGAATCAGCTAATTGAGTTTTCTGTAGCCACTGCTGACTGCATCGTATCGGCCCCACTCGAACTCTCTTACCTAACCACTTTCCACAGGTGTTCAATTGATCTCCCGAGATGCAGGATGCCCAAGCCAACCCTATCCCAGGCTTAAAGTGCCTGCTGTGCTGGTGGCTGCCCATCTTTGCCTGGGATGGCGGCACATTCTTAGTTCACTCCGCCTAATGCCTTTTTGTTGTTGGGGAAATTGGCAGGCTAGTGTTGCCATGGTGATTTGACTGACAACTTTGTAGTTAGGATAAAATGATTTTCTTTAGTGGAAAAAGATAAAGCTATTGTTTGAGGATGATCTAAGACAATGCTTTTGCCTGGTTATCTCTCTCTCAACCTCACCTTTGCACTTTTGTACCGCAAGAGACTCTAAAGACATTTAAATACAAAACCAATGACAAAATCAGAGGCAAAATGTTAAAGGTTTTGAACTTGTTTTCCATCTGCCTGAGCTTTCCCCCTCTCACTCTATACAATGAAGTTAAATGTTAATGATTTCAATCTCTTATGTGCTGAAAATATAGCTTTCTTTCCTGCATTAAATGAACAAATACAAAATAATCTCCATTTTTGTGGGGGCAGGGAGGGAGCTATAATTTTTACGTGACGATTGTTGCCAATATTTGCAGGTAGCCCTGGGTAAACAATGGCAGGTTCCCAGAGCAGTTACCAGTCACTTCCTCTGTAAGTGCCACAAGGGAAGCTTAGCAAAGGATAACAGGAGGGTTTTATCTGAAGATCACATCTTCTCTGACTTTACTTTTAGGTATCCCCTGTGGCTTTCCTCTGTGGAGTGATTTTGTTCTAATTTGAGTTTGTAAATGTGTTTCCTTCCACTCACTGAGGTTTTTCTCTTTGATGACAAAGTTAGTTTACACAAGAAGTCCATCTTTAGGGAAAGGATATCGAAAAAGAGAAACGAGCCCTGCTTCCTCTCTGTGACCTCTGCTTCTCCAAACACGTGAATTCTTCTGAGATACGGGCCCCACTAACTACTTATCAGCCCACTGAGCCTGAGGAAGCATCTTTTACTGGGCTTAAGGACTCCATTTGGCTTTCAACAGTTCCTGCTCATGAAAAACAAGGCGAGCACATATTAAAGCAATCCATGTATCATTCACGCATCTGCTTTCAGCAAAATGAGTCTCTATTTCCTCGCCTGATAAGTTGTTCGTAAAGGAGAAACATCAATTTTTTTTGTTTCCTGCCTTCCTCTAGGTTTCTGTGAGCAGAGGTGTTTAACAATAGAACAACTGACAGGTGGTCCGGACGTAAGCTCAAAGATGGAGACTACCACCCCCTTCACTATAACCTCAATTTTTCATCCTGTATCAAAGATCTTCTTAATCCAACCTTAACCCATCCACCCAAGTTGGCCTCACCGTTTATCAGCTGTGTGACCTTGGGAAAGTTACTTACTCATTCTGTGTCTTAGTGTCCTCTGTGAGAAAAAAGGGGGAAAGGTTTTTAATAGTAGCATCTACTGCATAAGGTAGTTGTGAGAAGTAAATGAGTTGAGTATTAGAATAATGCTGGGTACTTCACAAGCACTTGATAAATGGTAGCTATTATTAGGTATTAATACAAAACCTCCACTCCAATTAGGCCATTCACACTGTTCCCCAGCCACACACAATCATTCCCAAGTTCATCATGCAGTTCTTATTACCTGGAACACTCTCCTTTCTCCCTCCAACTAGGAAGTCCATAGGGCTGTCCAGTAGAAACACAGAGCAAGCCTATACGAAATTTGAAGTTTTCTAATAGTGGCATGAAAAAGGTAATAAGAAACAAGTGAAATTAATTTTAATAATATATATTTTGACCCACTGAATCCAAAATACTGTCATTTCAACATGTAATCAATGAGATCTTTTTACATTCTTCTTTTTCCTTTAAAATCCAGCATATGTTTTATACTTCTGGCATATCTCAGTCCAGACTAGCCACTTCAAGTGCTGACTAGCCACCTGGGCTGGTGCTACTGCATTGGGGCCCATAGGTAGAGAGTAGGCAGGTGGCCCAGGGCTGCCTCCGGGCTCTGTAATGTGGTCAGTCCCTTAAATAATGGCTAGCCCATGCTGAGTATTTACAGCGAGATGCCAGGCACTATGCTGAGGAGATAGATCTCATTTAATCCTTATGACAGCCCTCTTAAATAGGTACTTTTATTACCCTCACTTTACAGATGAGAAAATAGAGACTCAAAGAGGTTCAATAGCGGCTGGGAAGTAGTAGAGGCAGGATTTGAGCGGCTCTGCCCCACTGCAGAGCTTGTGTTCTAACACCCTCAGCACATTGCTTCCCAGACGGGAGCTCGAAGTGAAGGGCTGCATCCTCTGCAGGGTTCTTAGAGGAACATGTGAAAATTTAGCAAGTTGGCCCAGTCGTACAATTTTGTTCAGAGTAAGAATGGCCATGAACAGAATCTTCTTGGGTTTTCCCATGGCAATGCATGCTATTAGTCACCCTATAAAACTTATATTTGTTTATTTTGTGAACAGATTATAAAGAGATGGAATCTGTGCTCTCCTGACCTCCGAGAATGGGGACTATCAGGGAAGGCTTGTTTACGAAACATCTGGAAGGCAGAATCCTTGAAAATAAACTCCTGTGTGGGGATCTTTTCGCTGTAGTTAAGTCCGTGCGAGGAAAAGCGGATGATCTTTAAACAATGCTTAAAAATGGCCCTAAAAGTAATCTCCTTGCTTTTATTGGCAGGGATGTAAAGATTATGACCTATGATTTAAAATCAAGATGACTTTTAGCTAGGAAATGTTAACTCATTTTTATAAGTATTGCCTCCAGACTTCAAATGTTGTTGGTTTACATAGCCAGCAAGTTTCCCTTCCCTCTGCTGTTCCTGAACTACTGCTTCTTGTTTTGTTTTGTTTTGTTAATCAATAAAGACCAGATTTCGACAAGAGTTGGACCTTATTCCAAGAGCAGATCCAGATGGACTCCATGGTCATCAAGGGCCTCGATCCAGATACCAACTACCAGTTTGCTGTGAGGGCCGTGAATCCCCATGGCTCCAGCCCCCGCAGCCGGCCCAGTGACACCATCCGAACCTTCCGTGAGTACCGCGGCCCTTCTGAAGGGCAGGCGTAGCTGCTTTGCTGGAGTTGCCTCGTTAGGACCCGGCTGACTGGAGTTTCTTAGCGCCCTGCAGAGGGACAGCCTGGAATGGGGCTATCCTCATCTTTTCCTGCTGCAGTTTTCCCAGCCTTTGGGAAGTTAGAAGCTCTCAACAGGGACACAGGCTGTTTCTATGTATAGGAAGTCAACAGAAGATTTATTTTTGCATCATCCTTAGGGAGTTTGAGGTCAGTTTTCCTTCACGATCACAGAACAGACCACGTACCAAGATGTTGTGCAGCCTTCCCCCTACCCCGCCCTACTTTTTCATCTTTTGAGAAAATGGGTTCATCTTAGAATCATAGGAGAAAAAATAAGGCTCCCAGACTCTTCGAAGTTAGTAACCACCTGCAAATCAAGGACACTCAAGTAAAATCAGTCCCCCTGAATGATGGTCAGGGGAATCAAAGAGGTGTGCTGACACATAGCTGGGGGGCTAGCTGACGGCATAAGTTCCTTTCTGTCATAGTGCCTCTCTGGGGGAGTTCAGGGGAGCTTGGGCCAGTGTCTATCAAATCACCTGGGGATTTTGAGAAAAGTCAGATTCAGATTATGATCTGGGGTTTAAGAAGCTCCCACATGATTTGAGAACCACACTTCAGTTACTTAGACCACCTTGTCAAGCCCAGCGTAGAAATGTTTGTCTTCTGGAAGTGGGGGGCACATTTACAGAAACCTAGAGCTCTGTGTAGTGGGGAGACCTCAGAACTGAAATGTTGACACTTTTTTCTTTGAAGTCTCTGTAATTGTCTAGGCAGAGAAGACTCTGTGTTGCCTATAAATTCCTCCAGATTCCTGTGCCACCCCTGGGTCCTCTTTACCCAGGAAAGAGGCTATCAGAAAAGAAGCCCACCTAACACTGTCAGTTGGCTTTCCATTGGTCCGCATAGAGCACTATTTTTGTTTGTTAGTTGATCTGAATAAACTCCTCTCCCCTCCTCACAAACCATCCACACGGTTGACTTCCAAGGCCGTGGCTGTTTCCAGGGCTGAAGAGTCACCAAGTTCCCCAAGTCCTAGAAATTTTGGCTCTTCTGAAAACAAACTTTACTCCAGCCTTGAATGTCAGGGCTCCTTCCTTCAAATTGAATTATTGGGGGATATGGGGATATGAGGGATATGGTGAGGTCACACCCCACATACACACCCCCACACTCACACACACTCCCTACATACACAATAACCACGATCACCCAGCAATTGTTTCACTTCTCTTCTTCTTTAGAATTTAGAAGCTAAAACTCCCCAGGCATATGGCAAGGGGTGAAGCTCCTTCTTTCTAGAAGAAATGGTAAGGATTCTAATGTATTTCGGATCAAAGGAGGGCCTCCTTCCACTCTTGCTGGATGGGATCCATGCTATAATCTTTGGCTAAACTTTGCAATGCGTGGCCCAAAGTTGGGGTGACAATAGCTGGGGCGGGATCTGACAGTATTTTGAAACTCTAGTTTGTCTTTTTGTGCTACAAACTAAGCCAGCCCTCTGTGTTGTGTGCCCGCCCCACACTTCCCCACACATCGACTCCTCTGCTCCCGTTTTGTGAGGTGCCCCATGCTCACCTCTCTCCTTCTATCCTTTCATATCTCCTTCTCCAGAGACAAGAACCGTAGAAGAAGGATGAGCTAGAACAACTCTTGCTGGCCCTGGACAGGGTGTGGAGACTGGAGTCAGGGGCGGGGCGTGGGTTGGGGCTTCTCTTGAACTTTTTCTTTTTAAACTGAAACACTGGTCTGGTCTTAGAGTTTCTAATCATTGTTTTCCCATTGGTGGATGCCAGCTTTGTGAATTAAGTGGGATAAGCTATGTGAAAGTCCTTCACAGATATGTAACATTTCATCACAATTGATCTCCTATGTGAAGCACAATTTTATCGTTTCAGAGTAATTGCGTGCAGGGGAGGTGGCCGATTTAGTGAAACCTCTCAATTATGAAATGTTATTAAATAAATATAATTTGACTGCTTTTACCTATATATGGTTACTCAAATCAGAATAACGGAAATAGAATTTATTAGATGGCCTATTTCATGAATACATGAGAATGTGCTGTAATTGGTATTTCAATTGTAGTTTTTTCTTGTGATCACCTCTAATGTTTTAGAAAACTCTGTATTCTGGCAGAGTATTCACACTTTTTATGTTGCTATTAGTTTAGATTATTATCTTGCTTCCAAAACCCATTTTTCCATATATAAAATTAGCTAATTACCAAATAGCACTTATCCTAATTGTAATAAATTCTAAATATCAGAACTACCATTGTGAAAGCCTCCTATGAGCCAGGCACCACGCCGAGCACTTAACCTAGGAAATCCCGTATTAATCCTCCCCAAAACCCTTGCTGGAGGAATAGGACCCCTTTTTATAGATTTTCAAAAATTGGGTCTTTGAAAGGTTATGCACTTTGCCAAGAATAATAATTGTAAAGGCAGGATTTGAACTCTGTTTGGGTGACTGCAAAGCCACTTCCCTGAGTGAGATTCAAATTTAAAAAGGTTCTTTATCTTCTAATGCGAAATAGCATGAGAATGGCAAAGTCAGCAATTAAATAAAGTACGGGGGACTGTTGATATAGAATCTATGGACCAAGGAAGTTCTGACAGTGCAGAACAAACTAGAAATTTTTTTTTCTTCTAAAACTTGTAAGGTCTACTGTACGTACAAAAATGTGAGTAAAACATGCACGCAGAACTGAACTTCAGTCAGTATGCATCTATATAGCCCTGGGAGTTTACAGCTGATTCTGATTGGTTAGACCCAAGCCAAGCCAGTTGGTAAATATTTTGAATGCCACTCCGAAGGAATTTGTGAGACCAGTGTTTCTACCTGTTGGGCTTCTCCATTCTCATGGCTGGATGTTTTCTTGGTGTGATGCCACTTTGCTCCCTGAACAGCGAACTTCAGAGCAGAATGTTCAAGTTGACTACTGAGGCGCAGAATGCCTGAGGGGAACCCTGAGATCCCATCCTGGACACTGCCTCTTGCTGGGCTCCTCTGTTGCCTATTTTAGGCCTACATCCACCTCCTTTCATAAGGAGGGATAACACTCCAGCTCTACTAACTAACAAAGCACTGACTTGCCCTGGACCGATTAATGCCAGATCCTATTAGCAGCTTAATTACTTAATAGGGCAATTGGTGATCCTAGTTGCTCTTACATCTGTAGTTACTGAAAGCCAGGCCCTAGTGTTTCCTAAATTGGTGCCCAGCCTGAGTGAGGAATGAGGACGATTTTGGTGGCTTCACTGGAGTGTCGTGAGGTGTGCTCAATGTCCACATCTAACCTCAGCTCCACAATGTCACAAGTACAATGGGAAGAAAATATCTAGATGTTTTAGTGTCCAGGTCCTCTAATGAGAAATAGGATCATTTCAGTGACCTTGGATAATAATGACCTTGTGTTTATTTCCATCCCCTCACCAGATACTCAGCGCTCATATCAGCGCGTATTCTGCTCCTGTAAGGAAATACAGAGACGACAAAGATTACCATCTCTCACTCCTTACCCCATCTCCTGCTGTATTTTTTTCTTCAAGAAAGAAATGCCAACAACATTATAATTTGCCTTATTATTCCATGGCATCCTTTTTTCCCTATGATTGATCTTATAAATTGGCCAATCAGAACAGGGGGCTCTGTAGAGCCTCACAGACACAGGTACACATTTGTGGCTTCATAGGACATGTATTGGCCCAGCTGGTGGTCACTTATTAGCTGAGATCCAGGCTTGGCTTGATCAAGAAGGATGGAACAAGTAATACAGGACATGAACTGGATGTAATAGAAATGGCAGAAGTCAAAAAATGTTTTCTTTCTTTTTGCCAAAGACAAATGAAATGAGGTTAAAAATAACTCGCATGGGTGACCAAATCTAGGATTATGTAACCTTCCCTGGGAGGGGAACTTGGGTCTACCACCCTAAATCATCTAATGTCTTGTGTTCCATCCTCATGATATAGACAGGTAAAGAACCAATCAGTTCTTCACTGAGGTGAAATTGACATCCTCAGGGCAGTCCCCAGCAGAAGGTGTTCTTTTGTTCCTAGCAAAAGTCATTCTGCTCTTTCCTGCCTCGGGGATTTTGCACTTGCTGTTTCCTCTGCCTGGAATTATCTCTCCCCAGGTCTTTCCATGACCACGCCCCACCCCATAGCTCAGAGGTCACTTCCTCAGACAGGCTCCATTGAACTTCACACTCACTCAGCCTATCCCCTGCTTTATTTTCTCCACAGCCCTTCACTGCCTGAAACTATTTCATTATCTGTATCCTCCCTCCAGGATTTGCTCCATACTGGAGTTGGAATGACTCTTTCAAGGTTGTATTCCCGACACCCTGTACAAAGTAGATGCTCAGTAAGATTTACTGAGTATGTGAATGACTGCATGTGACTTAACAAGACAAGAGCCTGTGACTACTTTGGAGGCTGGATAACTTTCTACTGCTGCTGTCAGGGAAACCCAAAGAGAAGATGGGAGGAGAAAGTTGGTCTAGAAACCCACCAGCCCAGAAGTGGGTTTCCCCAATTGGCAAGATTCATAGGCAAGTCAAACTCCCAGAATTGCGATGTGATGCAAATAAAAAAGAAGTTGAGTAAAAGAGGGAGAGAGGAAAGAAGGAAGGAAGGGAGAATGCAAACTCAGGGAGTTTAAGTCTAAGGCAATAAGGATGGAAAGGAGGCGTTTGAGAAAGATTCCAGTGAATCAACTTGCCAATTGAGTACAATTTGCTAATAAGGCAGTAAGAAAGGGAGAGACATTTTCTCTCTTTCAAACTGGGTCCTCATTTTACTCCTGTGTTCTTTGTTGATCATTAGAATAAGCTGTAACATTTCTGTACTAAATTAGAGTACATTATTCCCCTGGTCCTCATAAGTCTAGTTATGGTCTCGGATCCTCAGAGATTGCACGGGGAGGTGTGATGGATGTTTGGGATTTGACA